GCGTGCGGGTTCTGAGTCTGTCCCAACTCACGGTTCAATGCTGATCTTGGTGTCATCCTTCACCACACAGATGCCAAAAGAGCCGTCCACTTGATCTAGAAAACACACAACGAAAGCCTTGAGGAGAATGACTAGAAGCGACCCACGGGGCACCGTCTGCCCGCCTTTACAGAGCAACTGAAAGCAGGCTCCTGAAGACCGCATGGTACAGAGGTTTCTCAGAAAACTAAAAACAGAACTACCATGTGATCCTGCAATCTCACTTTTGGGTATTTATCCAAAAGAGCTGAAATCGGGACCTCAAGAGATGCCTGCATGCCCATGTCCGATGTGGCCCTATTCACAGTAGCCCAAATGCGGAAACGACCTAAATGTGCATTGACGGGTGAATGGAGAAAGAAAGTGTGGTGTGTGCATACCACGGAATACTATTTAGCCTTGAGAAAGGGAACTCTGCAATATGTGATGGCACACGTGAACCTTGAGGACACTGCGCTAAGTGAAATGAGCCGGTCACAGAAAGAGGAATAATGCATGTGTCCACTTCCATGAAGTATCTAAATAGTGAAATCCACATAATCAGAGTCGAGTGGCGGCCACCAGGGGCTGAGGGAGTGGGAAGCGGGAGTTACCGATCAACGGGCACAAAGTTTCAGGTTTGCTCTAGAGACCTGAGCACAACACTGTGCCCCTAGTCATCAATACTGTATTGGGCATGAGAACATTTGTTAAGAGAGCTGACTTCATGAATTAGAAATCTTTAAAAATCTTTAAATTTTTTTTTTAAAGATTGCAAGGAAGAAGGATAAAACTTCTGAAAAGGTAGAGTAAGGAACTCAGTGAAACAACAAATTAACTGATGAAAACAGTACGTTAAAATCTCTGAAAGTTGTCCTACAGGCATACAGCATTTTAAGAAACAGTAATTCAAGAAAACTGACTAAATCTTGGTCAGAACAGTGAGAGTCTGTGACACCTGAGCCATGACCAGCACTCACTTACCTGGCCCCCGGATCTGTGTAACAGAAGCTCTACTCAGAGTGATCTACTCCAGGTAGGTGCAGCCAGATCCCATGCTTAAAGAATTAAAGGAAAGTATAATGAAAATTTCTCATCAAAGAGAGAATATCATTAAGAAACAGAAATTATAAAAAAAGAATCAAATGGAAATTTTAGGGTTAAAAAGTACAACCCCCAAAATGAGGCTCAACAGTAGCCTTGAGATGATTTGAGATGATAGAAATAATCAGCAAACTTGAAGATAGATCAATGGAGATTATGGAATCTGAAGAACATAGAGAAAGAATGAAGGGAAATGAAGAAAGCCATGGAGAAATGTGGGACAGCATTAAGTGCGACCACACACATGTAATGGGAGTACCAGAAGGAGACGAGAAACAATATTTAAAGTATTACTGGCTGAAAACTTCCCAAATTGGATTTAAAACAACATCTACATCTTAGAAACCTTATAATAAACTCCAAGTAGGATAAACACGAAATGGCAGGTGTAAATCCAACCATGCCAAGATAACATTAAATGAGGATGGATTAAACGAACCAGTCAAAAAGCAGTGTGTCAGATGGATTTAAAACGTATGCTCCAGCTAATGCTGTCTACAGGAGACATGCTGTATTTTCAAACACACAATAGGGCGAAAGTACAAGAACAGAAAAATAGATTTGCAGCAAACAACCACCATGAAAGAGACGGAATGGCTATCCTAACGTCAGACAAATTAGACTCGAAGACAAAAAATATCACTAGAGATGACAAAATTATCACCGTGATGATAAGCGGTATCACAATCATATCACAATGATAAAAATTCAAGCCGTCGGAAAGATGACAATTATAAACACATACGCGCTTAAAAACAGAGCCTAAAAACAAAGGAAGCAAATACTGATGGAATCGAAGGATGAGATATACGATTGAGAAATAAAGCTTGGAGATTTCAATACTTTCAATAATGGACAGGACAGCTAGACAGAGGAGCAGCAAGGAGAGCGGAGACGGGCACCAGAACTAGACGCACAGACACCTGGAGCACCCCGCCCCGCGTCGGTAGAAGTCACGCTCACGTCGGGTGCGCACGGAGCGTGCTCTGGCCCAGGGCACGTGCCTCGATAAATTCAGAAGGGCTGAATTCACACAGAGTGCGTTCTCTGATCACTACGGAATTAGAAATCAATAAAAGAAGGCAATTTGGAAAATTCACAAATATGTAGGAATTAAACAGCACATGCCTTGATAATCAATGTAGCAAGAGAGAAGTAAAGGGAAATTAGAAAATACTCTGAGAGGAGTGGAAACAAGAATACAACAGGCTGGAATTAATGACGCGCGGCGAACGCACTGCCGAGGGATGTAAATGTCTGTGAAAAAAGGAGGAAGAAACCTCAGATCACTTACGGTCAGGGTGCAACGCGATTCAGTGGGGAAAGGTCTTTTCAACTAACAGGGCTGGGAGAAGCGAACGCCACGTGCAAAAGAGTGGGTTTGGACCCCTATGTCACAAACGTAAGAGTTAAAATGGAAAAACTCTCAGAGGAACACATGGGAGTAAATCTTTGTGACCTCCGGTCAGGTGAAACATTAGACACGACGCCAAAAGCACAAGTGACAAGAGGAAAAATAAACTGTACTTCATCAAAATTAAAATGAACTTTTGTGCTGCAAACATTACCATAAATAGAATAAAAAGAGAACCCACAAAATGAGATAGAATATTCGCAGGAAAATCGTATGTTTGGTAAGGGGCTGGCATCCAAAATATACAAGGAACTCTTACAACTTCATACTTAAAAGGTTACAACTCAACATTTTGAGTGGGCAAAGAATCTGAAAAGACAGTTCTAAGAAGACATACAAGTGGGCAGTAAGCACACGCAGAGATGCCCCGCATCCTCGGCCAGCAGGGAAAGGCAAGTCAAAGCCACCAGGAGGTTCCACTTGGTGCCCAGAAGTTCGGTGAAAACAGAAAAGATGGCGACCGGGATTGGCGAGGGTGTGGGGAAATGTGGGGAAGCCGGGGGC